TTGTATTTGTATTTGTAAAGTCTCGTATTTATTTTAGTTTTCTCTCCTTTTAAGTTATATAAAGTTTATCAATTATGTTTATCTTTTCTAAGGTCCATTTTTGTTTGTTTGATCTTGTGTATATTTTCTTAATAGTCTCGGTTTCATTTTCTTTTGTCTGGTCTTTGTTAGTCTTTCCGAATGCTTGAATTTTCCTTGCTTTCATAATTTCTTTTTATGTGTCTTTAAGTTTTTATTTGAAGCTGTCTGACTTATTTATTTATATTTCTTGTTCGGCTATTATGAAGGTGGTAATAATTGCAGGAAGCTTCTTTACACTATTATTTTTCTGTGTCTCACACACTTAGACATATGTGTTATTTTTCTCATTTGTTAAAGAATTTTGTAAGGCATTTCTTAATTTCAGCTTCAGAATACCTTTTGTTGATAATTGTATTGATTCCATTGTGGTCAGAAAAAAAATATATTTGATAGGATTTCATATCTTAAGATGCTGTGAAACTTGTTTTGAAGCTTAAATATACAGCTTTTATAAAATTTCCAGATCCCAATGTGATTAATGTGTATTTCGCTTATTGAAAAATAATTGTATAATATATATCTGATACATCCATTTGATCTAGAATATCTTAAACTCTCTTCACTTAGAGCTTCTTTATGCCTGAGAATCCAGATACAAAAGGTATACAAATAAGCATACACATCAAATATGTGTTGATAATAAATTACAAAGAAAGCATTTTAATGCAACTCTTTGGCATACATATAACATAGCCATTTATATTCACATATCCAGTGTGACCTGCATGTTGCATAACTTTACATAAAACTTTAAACTTGGCTAAATATTTGATACCTCAGGACACAGACCGTCTTTAATGCTTTTTTAAAGTTGATTGATATTTTGAATTAATTATTTTTAACTTTTAATTGGTTCTTTGTGAATTTTGCAACATGTACCCCAATCCAACTCATCCACCCATCCCCTAATACCTACCCCATACCCTTGCAATCTCTCCCTCTACAGAGAAAACAAAACAAAACAAAACAAAAAAAGCTCATTGTTAAAGTTGTAGTGTGTCACAATGTTCCTCTCCTCACCCCTCCCCACGCCTTCCCTCCTCTCTTCTCCTCTCCTCTTCTCTCTCCTCCTCTCCCATTCCCTCCTCTCCCCAACCTTCTCTTCCCCTTCTCTCTCTCCTCTCCTCTCCTAGCCCTTTGCTTCACTTCTCTGCTTGTAAATGTTCATTGCAATGACTCAGTCTGGTATGAGGCCCCTGGCTTCTGCTGCTCTTTCTTTTTTATTTATTTATTTATTTATTTATTTATTTATTTATTTATTCATTTATTTATTTATTTATATTTTTTTATTAATTACACTTTATTCATTTTGTATCCCCCCATAAGCCCCTCCCTCCTCCACTCCCTATCCCACCCTCCCTCCCCTTTCTGCATGCATGCCACTCCCCAAGTCCACTGATAGGGGAGGTTCTCCTCTTCTTTGTGATCTTAGTCTATCAGTTCTCATCAAAAGTGGCTGCATTGTCCTCTACTGTCGCCTGATAAGGCTGCTCCCCCCTCAGGGGGAAGTGATCAAAGAGCAGGCCAATCAGATTATGTCAGAGGCAGTCCCTCTTCCCATTACTATGTAACCCACTTGGACACTGAACCACCATGGGCTATATCTGTGCAGGGGTTCCATGTCATCTCCACGAATAGTCCTTGGTTGGAGTATAAGTCTCTGGGAAGTTCCCTGTGTTCAAATTATCTTGTTCTGTTGCTCTCCTTGTGGAGTTCCCATTCCCTCCAGCTCTTACTATTTCCCACTTCTTACATAAAATTCCACTCACTCTGCCCATCAGTTGGCCATCAGGCTCAGCATCTGCTTTGACAGTCTATACTGCAGAAGCTTTCAGAGGCCCTCTGTGGCAGGTTTCAAGGTTGTTTCCTATTTTCTTCTGGCTTTTAGAGGCCCTCTGTAGCAGGTTCCAAGGTTGTGTCCTATTTTCTTTTTCTTCTGATGTCCATCCTCTTTGCCTTTCAGGATGGGGATTGAACATTTTAGTTAGGGTCTTCTCTTTTGCTTAGTTTGTTTAGATGTACAGATTTTAGTGGGTTTATTCTATGTTGTATGTTTATATGAGTGAGTATATACCATGCATGTCTTTTTGCTTCTGGGACAACTCACTCAGGATGATCCTTTCCAGGTCCCACCATTTACCTGCAAATTTCATGATTTCCTTATTTTTCATTGCTGAGTAATACTCCATTGTATAGATATACCACAGTTTCTGCATCCATTCTTCAGTTGAGGAGCATCTGGGTTGTTTCCAGTTTCTGGCTATTACAAATAAAGCTGCTACAAACATGGTTGAGCAAATGTCCTTTTTGTGTACTTGCGCCTCTTTTGGGTATATGCCTAGGAGTGGTATGGCAGGATCTTGAGGAAGCACTATTCCTAGTTGTCTGAGAAAGTGCCAGATTGATTTCCAGAGTGGTTGTACAAGTTTACATTCCCACCAGCAGTGGAGAAGGGTTCCCCTTTCTCCACAACCTCTCCAGCATGTGTTATCCCTTGAGTTTTTCATCTTGGCCATTCTGATGCGTGTAAGGTGAAATCTCAGAGTTGTTTTGATTTGCATTTCCCTAATGGCTAATGAGGTTGAGCATTTCTTTAAGTGCTTCTCTGCCATTCGATATTCCTCTACAGAGAATACTTTCTTTAGCTCTGTTCCCCATTTTTTAAGTGGATTACTTGGTTTATTGCTTTTCAGCTAGTTTAGTTCTTTATATATATTGGATATGAGTCCTCTGTCAGATAAAGGGTTGGTGATGATTCTTTCCCAATCTGTAGGCAGTCGCTTTGTTTTGATGACGGTGTCCTTTGCTTTACAGAAGCTTTTCAATTTCATGAGGTCCCATTTATTGATTGTTGCTCTTAGAGCCTGTGCTGTTGGTGTTCTGTTCAGGAAGTTTTCTCCTGTACCAATGAGTTCTAGGGTATTCCCCACTTTTTTTCTAGCCGATTTAATGTGTCTGGTTTTATGTTGAGGTCTTTGATCCACTTGGACTTCAGTTTTGTGCAGGGTGATAAGTATGGATCTATTTTCATTTTTCTACATGTAGACATCCAGTTGGACCAGCACCATTTGTTGAAGATGCTATCTTTTTTCCATTGTATGGTTTTGGCATCTTTGTCAAAAATCAGGTGTCCGTAAGTGTGTGGGTTTATTTCTGGGTCTTCCGTTCGATTCCATTGATCCACCATTCTGTTTCTATGCCAGTACCATGCAGTTTTTATAACTGTTGCTCTATATAGTACAGCTTGAGATCAGGGATGGAGATACCTCCAGAAGATCTTTTATTGTAGAGGATTGTTTTAGCAATTCTCGGTTTCTTGTTATTCCATATGAAGTTGAGAATTTTTCTTTCCAAGTCTGTAAAGAATTGTGTTGGCAATTTGATGGGAATTGCATTAAATCTGTAGATTGCTTTTGGTAAGATGGCCATTTTTGCTATGTTAATCCTGCCAAGCCATGAGCATGGGAGATCTTTCCATCTTCTCATATCTTCCTCTAATTCTTTCTTCAGAGACTTGAAATTTTTTTCCTACAAGTCTTTGACTTGCTTGGATAGGGTTACATCAAGGTACTTTATGTCATTTGTGGCTATTGTGAATGGTGTTGTTTCTCTAATTTCTTTCTCAGCCCTTTTGTCTTTTGTATACAGGAGTGCTACTCTTTCAATAACAGAACCTCACTGGAACTCCGCTTAGATATCCTGTTATTGCCCTGTGTCATGGAGATCTGTGGTTTTGGATCCTTAGGACTGGCCCCTTCATTTGATCCAGCAGTTCATCGCTAGGGTAGATGTCAGACTGGGCCAGTTCAAAGCCCCAGATCTAGGCCTGAGAAGTGTCTGAGCTGATCAGGCCAAAGGTTCTGCCACTTTTACACCTTGTGGCTTACTCACATACAACCACCACATCCAGAGTCTGCTCTGCTTTGCTCCCCAGATGACATCCAAGGCCTGATCTCTCAAGTGCTGCAGCATGTGAGGGGCAGGGGCAGCTCTGATGACCTTTGGACCAGGTCTCCCTCCTCCTGCATGTGGTAAGGAGCAAGGGATGATTTATCTCTCTCTCTCACCACGCAGGAAATGAGTGTAGGGCCAGCAGTCTCACACTTGTCTCCTAGGGGCTGGTCCATCTGCAACACCTGCAATGTGCAAGTTTCCTCCTTTCCAGAGTGTCTAGGTCCCTCTCCAGCTGTCTAGATGCAAGGTCAGTTCTCCTGTTCTCTGCCCCCCAATGTCTGCTCTCCCATGATGCCTAGGTGAGGGAGGGAGCCAGTTCTGTACAGCCTTCAGACATTAGCATACCACTCCCACAAGTAGCCCAGACCAGGGACATCTGCCTGGCCTTTTTGTGGTAATAGACCCCTGCTGTGGTCCCCAGGTGACAGCACAGGTGAGGACCCCATCAAAATCCCAGCTGGTATCACCATCTATTCACATCAGGCTGTTCCTCACTAAACTCCAGTCTCCAGTTCTGCCTATCTTCACTGTGCTCACACCTTTATGTTTATCTTTCTCTTCCATTTCTCCACCACTTGGTTGCTCCTCTTTGTGGCACCTAGGGTCTCAGAGTGTCTGGGGGTATGTCAGCAGGGGCCACAGGGGTTTTATGCACCACTTGATCATTATGGCACCAGTCAGGGGACATCTCTGGCCTGTTTTTTTTTTTTTTTTTTTTTTCCCACTAGACCTGTGGGGCACTGAATTGGTGGTCATCTCTTCCTCTCAGGCTTGCCCCCTAACTGGCCCACCTGGCAATAGTCTGGTGGTCATCTCGGCCTCACTCCTTACCCAGCTTGCCCAAGTAGCCTTTGGGGCAATCTCAGGTGATATTCTTCTAGATTCTGGCTTATTCCTAGTCCTGGAGCCCATCCAGGCATGCCTGACTCTGAAATGGTGGCTATCTGAGGCTGGCTCTTTTAGGAAATGTTAGGCTACTAGCAATTCGGAATTTCACGTTAGAATGCTGAGTGTAGACACAGCCTCTCTCCTTTCTGTGGCCTACTGATGCACACGTGACACAGCAGCCACACTGTGATGCCTTTTGGGGCATATGCTTCTTACAGTTAATGCCAAGAGTGCCACTCTACAAAAATACATATTAGAGGGCCTCTGTAGAAACCATCAGACATGCCATCCTAATGACGTGCCAAATTTTATTTGATGTTTGTTTGAATGTGTGTGTGTGTGTGTGTGAGTGAGTGTGTGAAACAGAAGTCAACATCTCATACAGCTATTTTTAAATAAAAATATTTTACCAGAATATAATTCAAAGCTGTGATAAGTTAAACTTCATATTCTAAGAAGTAATGGTAGGAAATTACTAAAACTATGTTGCATAATAAAAAGGTATTTTTTTTTGTAAAAGCAGAAATATATGTATCTGTAATATAAATATTGCAATTCAAAAAAATCCAATAGTCTGTAATGTGTTCTCAGGTGTTTCACGCAATGTCAATTGTAACTGCATGATGTGGGTGACTACATAACACAAAGTGCACGTGCTGTGAGCACAGAACCAAGGGATGCAACACAGATTAACACCGCCCAAAACACCACAGTGTCATTTGGTGTTTTATATTTAATTCACTCTCGTTCATTGTGCAACCAGAAAACTCTTAACGTTTGTCACATTGATTCAGAACACCAACAGACAGTTAGGTGCTACATCCAGTATCACAACCCATAGCATAAGAAGCTCTGATCTAGAGCACTGTTGACTGCTTTTATGTGAACTGTTAGTTGACGTTGTCTGAGGATGAATAAGTAAAATTCCTGTTCTTCCTGTATAGTAGTCTGAATGCTTTACCCTACTCATATTAACAAATACATGGCTGTTTTGCTTTGGGCCAACACGTATTTACAGTTGTTAGATCCGTTTATCCTAGAGCACCTGTCTTAAACTTTGTTAATGATGCTGGATCCAAAGTTTATCTTAAGTGAGTATAGTCACATTTGGTGTCATTGGGTTTTATACACATGGAGAGCCTTTATTCTAGTTCTTACTTATAGCCAGTTTGTTTCCGCACAGAAAAAGAACCATTCAGCTGCACTGTAGAAGAAATTAACTGGCATGGAGTCTTTGTACACTGTAACTTGTTTTTGAGTTGCTCTGTACAAACTTTGGCCTTTTCTGCCTCCCAGTTTCTTCCCTTATGAGGAACCGACTTTCTGCAGTGGCAGGCTTTTGTCATTCTTTTTTTATTGTTTTTGTGTCCCTCAAAGGCTGTTGCTTTAAGTATGCCAAAGTTTATAGAAAACTAATAGATAACTTAAGCTATTAACTTAGTATTGATCACACCAAGTAATTATCCTCTATTTTATGATTTTACATCTCAGTTGCATATATATTAATAGATAAGTACAACTTTGTTTTCCAAAAATTATATTTGCATACATATCTTTATTCTAACCATTTATAGATATTAGTGTACTGCCATACTACTAGAGTTTTGTATTTGATAGAACCAATACACTTATTAGAGATGGGTGTACTCTCCTATATTACTAACCCATGTCCCCTTGCCTCAGGTTTCTAAATTTATTTTTATAGTCATTTAATATTGGTGGCTCCAGCTTATAAACTTATCTTTCATTTTTGTGATAAAATCCTTTTGTATCGTTATTCTTGAAAGCCAGTACACTGGGTACAGTATTGCTCATACTTGATAGTTTCTTTCAGTCTTCAAGTTTTCTTTTGTGGAATCTGCAGACTCTCTCTCTCTCTCTCTCTCTCTCTCTCTCTGTTTTCAACATTATCTTTCAATTTTGACAATTTGACTCCGAACTTCAATGTTACTGGTCTCTTTGAATTCATATAATTTGCTGTTCTGTGGGTTTCCCAGATCTTTTATTTCCTTTTCAAAACTTCAGGAGATTTATGCTATCATTCTTTAAATACGTTTTATGCCATTTTTCTCTCTGTCATCTCTTGTAACATGCAAATCATGTGGGTTTTCTTGTTTGATGCAGTTCAGACTGACTGATTTCTAGTGAGCTGTCATCTAGTTCTTTAATCTATGTCGATCACTCTATTAGAATTTTAAGTTAAGTAATGGCATTGTTCATATCTGTGATTTATGTTTGGCTCTCTCTCTTTTACATTTAGATCACTTGTTGAAGTTCTCTGCTGATTTGTGCTTTCTTGGGCTCCATAATCATACTTCAGCCCATTCCCCTGAGTTGTCTGTCAGCTGTAAACCAAAACCTCTTCATTTAGCTCATTTTCCTGGCAACCTAATCCTCTCATTTTAATTTTTTCTTCATGTTTCTTTACATTGCTTTATTCCAATTGTAATTTTATGTGTTTTGTATGCTTATTTACTTACTTATTTAATGTTCTGCTGAGGATCAAACTTGGAACTTTCTGAATGATGTTCAAACACTCTGCTGTTAACTATACTATTCATGCCTGTCCCCATGCTGGAAGTTTCTGCCATTGCTCTGCTCAATTTTCTGTGGACAAATAAACTCTTTCCTTTCCAGGGACTTTAGGTCAAGTCTGTAACCACACATATGCCTAATTCTCTCCACTTCCATAGTTCATTAATTAAGAACTACATTGAAGGAAAACCTTTAATTTTGTAAGGTCCAGATCTTCTTTTGTCCAAAAGAAGCTGAGTATTGGGAATCTTGTTCCAATTTTCTAGCTCAGTATTCAAAAATATTCTCATACACAAGGAAGGCTAGATTTTGTGTATAGATGTGTTCTTGCTCAGTAGGTAGGGGTTTCTTAACCACTCTCTGACTTTCTGTGAGAAGTAATTCATTCAGAAAAAGATATGATTATATCTGTAAGCAGAGTGCGAATTAGGCACTCCCTGTTTCTCTAAGTGCTTGAAAATAATTGTGTATTCTTGACTTACCAAAAAAAATGGCACAGAGGTTGTTGATGACTATTTTCTTTACTGTGAAAGGGGAGTTATCTGTTTTACCTCTCTTTGACTAAATATATTCCATAATGTATGTTGTCTGAACTTGTCTTCAATTATAAAAAAGTCTTAACATTTTCAGAAAATTGTCCAAGACTTATATGTAATTGATATAAATGTACACTTCAGGAAGCTGGGAAGATGGCAAAGGGGTAAAGTGCTTGCTACAGAAGCATAATAACCTGGGTTTTGGTTCCTAACATTTACATTAAACTGGATGTGGTGGTTGTCATTTCCAACTCCGACTTGGGGGTGGAGTAAGCAAAGTACGGGAAATGAACTGGAACTTCAAGTTTCATGTTCAGTGAAGAAATTTTACCTCAAAACCTAAGATGCAGAGAGAGAAGACATTCTAATGTCAACTTCTGGCCTTCACATGTGCACACCTCAATCCACACTCCTCACAACACATGCACTCACAAGAACATGTGACACATAGACACACATACAGGCAGCACAGTGCTCCTTGAAACTATGAAACTACTTCATGCTAGAATTATTTTTTTTAATATTAGTCACATGTAAATTGAGTCTTACAGGAGGTGACTGTTATTCAGATGTAAATGAGGTAAACTTGAATCCAAACCTCCACACCAAGATTAAAATTAAAGTAATAAAGCCTAAAAGATGGTGGTTATTATATTTCTGTTAAATTTTAAACATGTAAGAAACTATAGTACATATATTTCTCATAACGAGTTTCACTTTGAGCATTCATTTCTTTTTAATTTCATAATAAATATGATTAAATTTACTACACAATAAGTATAGTCATAAAGCATTATCTAGTCATATTAATGTGGCAAAGATTAATGAAGGAAGCCAAATAAAATTAAACTACTTCACAACATTTTAACATCTTTTAAATATTAAATGTTACTTCTGAAATTTAATATTTCAATATTAGTTTCTTATATTTCTTTATCAAAACTAGGGCAGAGATTAAATTATATATTAAAGGCATCTTGAGTATAAAAAAGTAGAGTGTTCTAACAAATTTAAATGATTTCTATATTTTGGGTAAATTCAAAACTTTTATGTGGAAAAGCATTCCAGAAACCATAATTACTTAATTTATAATTCAACATCATTTACGGAATATATCTTTCTTTGTCTCTACACACACCCACAGACACTAAATCCTTACTGTTCATACTTAAGTCATGAAGTCAGGATTTTGGCTGACTAAAATTACTTAGCTTCTAATTTTATAAGTCTTTAAAAATTCAGGCTTTCAAATACAAAATTGAACAAGAAAGACATAAAATAATCACTAATGTTTAGAAAATATTGTTTTTAAAATTATTTTATTAGACCATTATTTTATATAAATTCAGCATTTGATAGATAACCCTGAAGAGCTGAATATGATTACAGTAGAACAGAAATAACTTTAAGTTTTCTCCACTGCTTTGTCAGTACAAAATGAATTTCTGCATGCAAACTTTACGTAAATTCTAAAACATAAAAAAGAAAAATATTTTCCAATTATTCCTTTATTTTGGCATTATTCCTGTATTTCCAATATCATCTTCTAAACCAACTCCATCTTTCTGTGTTCATGGTATTTTTTTTGTAATTTTTATTAGTTTACTTACTCTACATCCCAAGGGTGCCACCTCTCTTCCCTCCTTCCAGTCCCTCCACCACTTCCCTTTCTGCTCCCTTCCCATCTCCCTTCTCCCCAGAAAAGGGGAGCCTCTTTACTAACCACCCCCAGTCTTAACCAGCACATGAATTCACATCTTCATTTTTAATGCATGGGTGTGGAGTTAAACACGGAACTAGGGAAAGCTAATTAAAGCACATTTCAGACCCTCATGTTTCTACAAATAAAAATTATTTTACAATTAAAATTTTAAAATCAGTTAAACAAGAGTTATGTCAAAAAAGAGAAGGCAACATTTTCAAGCTCCATCTGCCCAAGGAAACAATAAAATAATGATAATAATAATAACTGTAACTGATGCTTATCAAATACTTTTCCCTTACTGGCTAGTGTTTATGGTACTAGAAGATACTGGAACCTATAATTATGACCTGTTTGCCAGATACAATGGCACAACAGTGACACAAAATTTACAGAAGTAACCAAGTGCTATCTGATTGGATTCACAACCCAT